CATCTCATTTGGAAACCAACGACCCAGAGTATGGAGGAAGAATAGGGAGGCACAGACTGCAAGATGCTTGAAGTCCAGTGTGAAGTTTCCACAGTCTGTGTTGATTTGGGGAGCCATGTCATCTGCTGGTGTTGGTCCACTGTGCTTCATTAAGTCCAGGGTCAACGCAGCCGTCTACCAGGAGATTTTGGAGCACTTCATGCTTCCTTCCGCAGACGAGCTTTATGGGGATGCTGACTTCATTTTCCAGCAGGACTTGGCACCTGCCCACACTGCCAAAAGCACCAAAACCTGGTTCAATGACCGTGGGATTACTGTGCTTGATTGGCCAGCAAACGCGCCTGACCTGAACCCCATAGAGAATCTATGGGGCATTGCCAAGAGAAAGATGAGAGACATGAGACCGAACAATGCAGAAGAGCTGAAGGCTGCTATTGAAGCATCCTGGTCTTCCACCTCAGCAGTGCCACAGATTGATAGCTTCCATGCCACGCCACATTGAGGCAGTAATTGCTGCAAAAAGGGGCCCAAACCAAGTACTGAGTACATATGCATGCTTATACTTTTCAGAGGTCCGATATTGTTCTATGTACAATCCTTGTTTTATTGATTGCATGTAATATTCTAATTTTCTGAGATTGTGGATTTGGGGGTTTTCATGAGCTGTAAGCAATAATCATCACAATTATGACAAATCACAGCTTGAACTATCTTGCTTTGCATGTAATCATTGTAAGCTCCAAGGAGCAGGGCCCTCAAATCCCTCTTGTATTGAACTGTATTGTTACTGTATTGTCTCCCGTTATATTGTAAAGCGCTGATCAAACTGTTGGCGCTATATAAATCCTGTATAATAATAATAATGCGTATCTCATATATTAGTTTCACCTTTAAATTGCATTACTGAAATAAATGAACTTTTGCACGATATTCTAATTTTTCTAGTTTTACCTGTATATAGCCACCTTTTTAAAGTGGTTCTAAAGCCTAAACATTTTTTACCTTAATGCATTCCTTGCATTAAATCGGAGTTCCACCCAAAAGGGGAAGTTCTGCTTTAAAGATTGGTCCCCCGCTTCCCATTAAGGATTGGCACGTTTGGGGAACGGGTACCCAAATTTGACAGGTACCCGCTCCCACTTGCACTGCGTTTGCCTAGGTGATCAGCAACGGCGGTTGTCCTCCTACCCTCCCTCCCCGAAGTCTTGTGGGACAAGTGACCGGTCCCAGAAGACGACGGGGCCATTCAGGAACCGCTGCGCTACTCGCACATGCGCAGTGGGCACGGGGCTGTGAAGCCACAAGCTGTCACAGCCGGATGCCCACACTGAAGATGCCAGCGCCTGGAATACAGGACAGCCGGTGAAACGGGCTGCGGCGAGGGCAACGCAGGATCGTGGGACAGGTGAGTGACTGTAAAAAAATAAAGTCAGCAGCTACAAAAACTGTAGTTGCTGACTTTAAAAAAAAAAACAGAGTGAGTGGAACTCTGCTTTAATTTTAAAAAAAAAAGTTTAGGCATCGGTTTTGGCCCCTCCCCCATGGCTTCCCATGGGAAGGTGGGGGGGGTGGGCGCACTGGACAGAGGAGGAGCACCAGTGAGAGACCCTAGAAGAGGAGCTTCAGGCTTCTGTGTGCAATTCCATTGCAAAGAGCAGGTAAAAATAGTTTTTTTTTTTTTTTTTTTTTTTTTTTTTTTTTTTTTTTTTTTTTTTTTAAATCTTCTTTACAATCACTTTATCATTATCTTGTTCTACAATGACAACCTTAATGTGGACTTTCCCTGCCATAGTTTTAGATGTCCTCAGCAGCAGTTCATAGAAAGGCCTCACCCCCTTACTGTGTAACAGTTCACCGAACCGCAGAAACCACAATGTCTGATGTCCTGCTATTGTGGGATTGCTATTCCAGTCCCCACTTGTTGTCTGTGTGCTTACGACACCTTCTGGGTTGTAAATTTAGCAGAACATGTTTTTCTGACATTAAGCATTTGCTAGGGAAGACATTCTTATTCGGCAACCCCAGTGCAGCTGGTTGGTAACTTACAGCCAGGGTGTATGTTGTGGGGTCAGGGATTTGTGAAATTCTAGCCCCACCTGCTTCAGCTAAAGCTTCCCAACAAATGGCCATATAAAATACTTCTCCTAGGTTCAGATGTGTGCAACGCTTCAAATTCCTCACTTACTTTAGGTCACCTCTGACTGTTGGAATCTGTTGGAAGTATTTTTTATTTTCAGAAGAGTTGCATCTGGTTCCACTTATGAAATCATTTTCCAATTCAATCAGTATACTGAAATCTGTCTTTATAGCAAGATACTACGCGACGTTGGACGTTAACAGCCTTGCTGTGTTCCTGCTTGTTAAATGATGGCACCATGTGTGTGGTTTTTTTTTTTTTTTGTTGGTAGCATTCTTCTGGTAGAATTATTTAAAGCGCTTTTTATGTTAACCGTTTTTAAATCTGTGATTGCCCCTCAACAAAGCTAATGATCACTGTATTCTCTAATCAAACTCTGCGGGATACATTCTAATCTTGTCACACATACTCTTGGGGAGAAGATACTCTTGTATGAATCTCTCTCCAGGCATGAAATTGAAACTCGGTTGCAAGAAATGGCTAGCACTTTGGCCCAGAGGAAAAGTTATCAAAACTGGAGCAGCTGTGCTTGGCAATCAGTTGGTTTCTATCTTTTCAAAGCGTAGCCACTCCCTGCTGGCAGTACGCATATATGCGGTCTCTTGGCTGGTGGGTTTTAACGCTGAGCGGCCACATATGTATCCCTTTTTAAATACTTCGCTGAGAGAATGCTCCCGTAACCTACCAATGCATATGCAATCGGGAGCTTTCCGATCATGTGACTGCCTATCACTGCGGTCATATGATCGAAATGCCGGCCCCTGCCTTTCGTCATTTTAGAATCTGTTGAAGGGCCAGGAGGCAGCAGAGGGAAGGAGGTAAATGAACAAACTGAAGAAAAAAAAGAGACGATTGCTCCAGATTTTGTCTGCTCCAGTCATGATAAATACCCCCCCCCCCACTCCCCCAATAGTATCCATCAACATTTACAAGCCCAAGGGACCCCTTTTCAAGATTATAACAGAGTGACAGTCTACGATCACCTTGGCATCATTGACCTTTGTGACCACATTTGACCTCAATATATTTTTGAAATACATGGCTTTCTTTTAATTGAGCTAAATAGTGTCTATGTAAGCCAAGCCTCCCCAGCATTGGTAGTTTAGGTACAGTGTTGGTTGTAGTGGACCTTTAATACTGTTTCAATGGTACTGGAAATTTTAAAGGACTAACTGGATTAAGTATGAAGATTAGGAGGGTCTGATTTGTGCTAACCTGGAATATTTGTTCCAGGTTATAGACCTAATCCAGCTATAGATGAGTTGAAAACCGAACATTCTGTTGATCAAAAAATGAAAATGGCTCATATGATTGCGCCATCATTTTTGTTTCATAAAAAAAAAAAAACCCATGTTTGATCAATTGCAACAGGAAAATTGCGCTTCACAACTGGCACATGAATTGTGTGAAAAGTGAATGATTTTACTACCGACAAGAATTTTCATTCAATTTTATAGTCCTCTATGGGCGGGCTTTACAGTAAAAGGTATTGCAATAAGAGCCACTTGGGCAACTAATTTCCTTTTTTAAAGTAGGCGACCAATGGCAGTTCCCATATCTATGTCGCAACAGGTTTCAGTCAAGGCCAAAACTATCAGCACGAAGCACACGTTGCATGGTCATGCTTGTTACACTGCTTATGTTTACATTGATCTTCCGATTTAGTCCATTGATAGGATGGTGTCTACAAAGACGTCTGGTATGGCTGGAGTGCAGCCTTTCCTCCAGTGACCCTGATGGTACTTAGGGTGGCGTTATGGTTGATGGCTGCCAATGCTTAAATGGGGAAGGAGTTCCTATGAGGATGTGTTAATTTTTTTTTTTTTTTTTTTTTTTTTTTTTTTTTTTAAAGGGATTTGCTTGTTGGTGCGTCCTCAAAGAAAATACTTTGTTATTGTTTACCAAAGCTTATTTCCTCCTTTTTAATCAAGCAGTTCAAAGTCCCATTCAAACATCTGATGGTGTTTAATATCTTGTAATAAATGCCAAGATATAATTTTAACAATGCTGACTGCTTCAACCCCACACCATTTGGAAGCTGTGATTTATGACCTCCTTTGTAGTAAAAGCATCCCTTTTGATTTAGTGTAATGGAGATTTCAGGTGAAATGTAATTGAAAGCTGTAAAACTGGGTTCTGCTGTTGCATTTTCTTAAGTGGTTCATTAACCTTTTCAAGAAGTGATGTGTAATGTATTGCTCACTACAGCATATGAGCATTTAAACCTTTTGCCAGTTTGTCTCTCATATCTATTTGTACTCTGGACAGACTTTTTTTTTTTTTTTTCCATGTTTAACCAAGCCTATGACTATAGAGCGGACATCTTCCTGCTGTACATTTTATTGTAGACTATAGCTTTCTTTACTACCAGTCTAATGGTGCAGCCTGTTTTCATATTTCAGTCTGCTCAGAGTGTTTTTTGTTGGTAATGACATGATCTGTTTTACATATGTACAGTGTACCACTCAAAAACCAACATTTACCTGCATGTCTATTCTTTGATTTTGCAAGCAACCGCAGTTTCTTAAACTCCCATTCAGATTGTCTCATGTACCTGAAGTGCTTCTTTAAATACTGGGCCTCCTGTAAAAGGTGGGCAACAAAAATGCTGTGCTGCTGAATGTGTAGCAGCATTGTTGGTCTTCTAGTGTGAGTTTTGGCATTACACTGCTGCATCACCACGCTGGCTCCTACACTCTAGGGCACGGGTGTCAAACTGGCGGCCCAGACTAGAAAATCATTTGTTTTTGTTAAATGTTTATATTGACATTCAGCAACCAGATTTTTCATAGCACATGTACATTGGATAGATATCGCCCTATGCATACTGGATATTTCTTGGTGGCAACCTCCTCACTTTTCCTTGTTTTTGGCAGGTCGCTCCTCCCTGTTCCCAATCGATGATAGCTTGCTGGATGATGGCCATAATGACCAAGTGGGTGTTCTGAATTCTCCAAACTGCTATTCTGGACATCAGAATGGGGAAAGAATTGAACGTTTCTCAAGGAAAGTATTTGTCGGTGGCCTTCCACCCGATATAGATGAGGGTAAGTCAGCTGGATGAATGTGGTGCTCAATATACTAGTACAGTACAGGTCATTCTGATGTTGCCGATCATATTTTAGAGGAGTACAGCCAATGCTCTTTTGTGGATCACAGGCGTGCAGTTCATTCTGCACTCCTGTGATCCGTTTTCGTCTGACAGCGGGCTGAAGTCACTCATCCGGTCCAGGCTCAGGAAAGATTCCGACTTTAAGCTCGGTTCACACTATGCACACTGTGCGATTTCATATGCGGGTCTATGCAGTGCGATTTCATGTCCATTCATTTGAATTGAATGAAATCACACCGCATTGTTGGGGTTGCGGTGGTGGGGGGCGTAGGGATGGGGGGTTCGAGGAGTGTATATGACGGTGGGCTTCTTGCAGATCGCACACGAGTTCACATGTTTGCTTGCCCGAGTGACGAGGGAGGAGGAGCTGCTGTGGTAAAGCAAGATTTCGCACGGAGGCGCCTGTGGACGCTCCCGGGGGGAGACCTCGGCGTGATTACAATCCCTGATCTTTGTATGCCCCCCCCTAATGTATGAATACCTCTATGTTCCCTCCCAGGCTAATCGCTAAAAGTAGTGCATGCACTACTTTAACAGCTTCCCGGCTGCCCTGTAGCAAAAATACTGCTACAGGGCGGCACGTTTGTGCAAAATCACGTGTGTGTGTGTGTAATATATACTTGATTTTGCATTTCCGGGTAGGGGACGCATGCCCTAACGGCGCCGCCATTTGCGGCCACGGCTGTCAATCACCGGGCCCCGGACGGTAATTACTCGCCGGTGCCCGGTGATTTCCAAGGATCTCCGTTGAGATCTGTTTTGTTTACCAACAGTCCTCCTCCCTGTCAGCTCGGGCAGACTGCTGTGGATGGCTGTGCACAGCTATCCACAGGAGTGTGATTGCAGTGAAGCACACACATCCCACCCCCTAGTATAACACTCCCTGCACACAGTTGACCCTTTGATTTCCCCTCATGTTAACCCCTTCCTGCCCAGTGCCATTAGTACAGTGTCAGTGCTTTATTTTTTTTATTTTGTTTTTTTTAACCACTGTATTACTGTCACTGGGGATGTCGGTGACACCAAACCAGTTTCCCCCCCCCCCACCCAGTGTCAGAATGTCCGCTGCTGTCCCATTATAAGTCGCTGATCACTGCCATTACTAGTAAAAAATTAAAAAGAAGAAAAAAATCTCAGTGTATATATACCACCATTTGTAAACGCTATAACTTTCACATAAACCAATTAATTTATACATATTGGGATTTTTTTTTTATCAGCAAAGACATGTAGCAGAATACATTTTGGTGTAAATTTATGATGAAATTTATTTATTTTTTTTTTTTATTTACTTAACGTGTTAAATGGCAAAAAGTAAAAAAAAAAAAATTTCCTCAAAATTGTGGGGGTTTTTTTTTGTTTTTTTTTTTAAATAGCACAAAAAATTAAAACCGCACAAGCATTAAAATACCACTGAAAGAAAGCTCAATTCGTGGGAAATAAAGGATGTAAATTTAATTTGGGTGCAGCGTTGCATGACCGCGCAATTGTCAGTTAAAGTAACGTAGCGCCGTAACGCAAAAAATGGCCTTGTTAGGAAGGGGGGTAAATCCTCAGGAAGGCAAGTGGTTAAACGTACGGCAAAAGCACCGCGTGGTACTTTGTACTTTACGGATTGGTGCGGGCCAATGCTGTCAAATGCAAGCCGTTTGCAACCTGCGTTCAAGATGTTAACTGGCCCCCACAGCAGATCACAAGGGCATTGGGAATGGAAGGGAATGCATCGTCTCACGGGAATGTGGCTCTCCCGTACTATATTCCAGTGTGAACAAGCACTTAGTCTGGATCCACCCCAGAGTCTGGAGCAGTACCTGGCTCAGCCTCTCAAAGATCTGCTGAGAGTCTGAGCCAGTTGCTCCCTCCCCCTCCACAGCCCCAGCACTCCAGTGAGTGCGGGGGGAGGGCAGAGGAGACAGCGATGAATGACAGTCGCCGCTCTCCGCTCACAGCGGCGGTGAGAACTCAGCGATTTCACCTCTGAGATCTTGGCTCCTGAGCATCACTGTAGCTTTGCAGGGATTTGGAAGGCCCATTTCAAAGTGGAGATTTTGTAGCAGCTACATAATTGCTCTAATTGGTTTTCTTGTTAGTAGGAAAATATAAATTGCGATTGGCAAACAGTCTGGGCTGCAGAAATTATAAGTGGTTTGTAACTCGGCCACTGAGAGGCTGATTTGTTTTTTCTGCATTTGGGGCTATAGACAGAATTGCCAGTAAATTATGTTATCCAATGCAGATGGCCATGGCACACAATCCATTTATAGCTGCCTAGATGAAAATTGTAGTCAGATACAGCAATGACTCTTTGTCCAACAGAGGTGTTGCTGCTACAGAATGCTAGTAGCACCAAATGCCTTAAGAAAACCAGAAATCCCTGTTTGGGTAGTATGGTGGGAATGCTCCCACCCTCCACATACCTTTTTGTAAACCGCAAGACCCTATCAAGATGCATTACTGTACCAATTGGTGGCAGGCCAATGAAATCATCTGCAATAGAAAGTGTATTTTTATGGTCACGGTGTGATACCAAAATTCATCAGGAGAGGGCATTGCATGTAAACACTTAACCTTATACTGAACAGTATGGTCATACCCTGCTAGATATTTCATATGAGTAAACTGAATCCAGCTGGAACTATATAACCAGCATATAAACCAACCACACACCCCCTTCCCCGTGCTACCAGGTCATGAGGATAAAACCACCAGTTATGAAGTAGACACATTACCCCCATACCATCTAGCTCTGATGTTTTAGGCAACTATACTGGTGTCAGCAGAAAGCTTCCCAAAATAGTTTTCAGAAGCTATGATGTCATGTGTAAAAGTATAACTAAAGGCATAGAGTTGAGAGAGATTAGGACACCTGTCAGTTTTTATTGCTGTCTGTGTCCCTGTTGGGGAGATTCGCCCTCTCTTTGTCCTATTTACCATTATTATTGAAAACAAGAAGTGTCCCCAGAAAAGTAATAGAGGGGAAATCTTACAATGGGAACACTAGTTCTGGTGACCTGGGGGTCCCCAAGGAATTCTTTTTGCAGGGATTTGTTCTCACTTCCTCTTTGGCAATGGGACAGGAAGTGAAGGGAAGTCTCCACAATGGGATACAGATGGCAAAATAAAATTCTGACCCTCCCTTGCTCTATATCTAAAATGGGGAAAAAAAAAAACAGGTTTTGCCTATAGTTCTACTTTAAATCAATGTAAATGTAACGCTTGTTTAATAAATGGACAATTTAGAAAGGTATATTCCATTCCAACAAACAATACAGGAGGCCATTGGCACGTCATTACAGTAATGTCTGAAGGCTGCACAGATTTTTAAAGCTTGTAATAAGGATGTAGTGGCTGGTTTGCTGTTTTTGAAAGATCCCTGCATCTTTGTCACCACCTGCAATGTCTACAATGGAAGCCTTGTTAAACTCAATAATAGCTTCGAGTCTGAAATAACACAAGCTTTTTTTCCCATCTGTGTTTGTTCAGACGAGATCACTGCTAGTTTCCGTCGCTTCGGCCCCCTGGTGGTAGACTGGCCACACAAGGCAGAAAGCAAATCTTACTTTCCACCAAAAGGTAAGTTATATGACAATCATTTTGTGTACCTCCAGACGCTGTGGAGACTTTGTTGAATGCTCTAGGTCAGGTTCTGCAAAAATATGGTTTTATCTAAATTTCTAAATCTAATTCTAACCTGGAGCTAACCTAAATCTCCAGCTCATGGTGAACTCCAAAGAGCTGGTAAACCATTCTTTTTCATCTTGCAAAGTGCATCTCCTGTTACATTAGAATTTAGATGCTTAGTTATAGATCTCCAGTATATGCTGTCAGGTTGATGCACATTGTTTTCCTCTTTCAAAGCATGTCCTTTGCACCAATGAAAATTATTTCCCACCAGGTGCGATGGGACTGTGCTGGGCAAAAAGCCTGGTTCCCTATAAGGCCAGTTCACCATTCACCAATCCACCTCTGCAGGCAATATAAAAAACAAATGTCACTAGTACATTTCAATAAAGTTCTAAAAAAAGAAGAAGTGTATACAATGCTGTGTGCAAGGATCGGCGCATGGGCATAGTTTCCGCCAAACGCACTACAGTAGCCATGCGTTCAGTGCAGCTTGCTGCTGTGAACGTGCCCAAAAGGTTTGCTGCTGCAAACATCCAATCATGTACAGCAAGCACAATCCTATCTTATAAATTTCACAACTTGTGACTGGGTGTTTAAAATGAACACAGCTTCACTGAACTCACCCAGACATTAGTGCATAAGTCTTGAGATAGCGACAGCAAAAGCTTTTTGCAGGTTCAAAAGCAATGCAGTTTCTGAGCTTTAACCTCCTGGCGCCAGCCGACCGCAAGTGTGTGGCCTCCCAGCATCTGGGTCTAGACACAGAACGCAAATGTGCAGCCACTCGATTAAAAACCGTGTGCTCCCGGCACACACGTTCGGTACTCACGGAAAGGTCCCGATCTCCTTTCGATCAGGACCTTTCCCGATCATGTGACAGCGAATCACGGTGGTCACATGACCCTAAAACCCGCCCCGCCTCCCCCCCTTAAAGGGCCAGGAGGTGCCGGCGCCAAGGGTTTAATTAAAATGCACAGTTTGAGAATTATTTTCCTTGTAAAATATAAGTTCTCGGTGACTATGAAATAGGCACTTTAGGAAACGCAGGGGGGAAACAGTGTGGCGAATAGCAACTTTCCTGGTTTATATAATTCTAGCAAAGCTCCATATTTATATGTATATATTCCTAGGTGCAACCCAGCCCCCCAACCCCTCCCAATCTCTGCTTTCATCCTGGAAAGTGATCTGGTGTTTTGCATCCAGGAATGCCCATCGGTGTGTTTTGTGTGACATTATTTGAATAATCCGTGCAAACCTGTAGTCGGCTGGCTTACTGCTTATTTTCAGCTCTCAAGTTAAAAATAACCAATCCATGTGGCCTTTCCAAGCTGCTGCATGCTGGACAGCTGCAGAGTCTGTAGAACTAGGACCAGAGAGGACTTGGCTCAGCCTTATGGACTGAAAACAACAATGAAAAAATATTTTTAGTGGAACAACTGATCCAGATAGACTTTTTTTTTTTTTTTTTTTTTCCCCCGTAATAGTTTAGCTTTGTACAAAGGCGACCTAAATTCAGTTTTAGGGCTCATGTACACTGCAACTGATAAACTCACATTTAGGAGCTGTTCAGCGATTTTTTTTTTTTTTTTTTTTTTTTTTTTTTTTTTTTTTTTTTTTTCCCAGCAGCCCATGAACTCACCCTAATATTTTCCTATGTGTCCATGTACACATCTTCATTTACAGGCATTTGAGTTTACAGCCTTTTTTTTTTTTTTTTTTTTTTTTTTTGAACACAGAAAACTTGTGTTCAGCAGTCGATTTTTATCAGCATTTCAAATGCTAAACGTGACAAATCGCATTTATAAGCGTTTGAAAATGATTAACTCTTCCAGTTCCCGATGCTGTCCAGAGCCTTTTTTCATCATAAAAAAATGCATGCAAAGCATTTTCAAGGTACTCAGATGAACAAAACAAGGAACACAGGATGTTCCTACCAAGTTTGTCACATATTGTAATGACCAATTCACACCTCAGACCTCTCCCACCCTTGGAAACAAAAGATATGTTAATATTCACACCTCAAATTCCTCAGGTGGCCTTAATGACTCCACCAGACACCTTTCTCACTCTTGGAAACAAAAGAAATGTTAATGAGCAACTCACACCTAAGCTAACCTCAACACATACTGCTGTCTCTGCTTCTACTTTCTGTATTTCTCTGAAACAGTCTGAAATAGTTAATAATTTACCACTTTTTAATGCGTTCGGGCATTTGGGAGGTTCTAATGTGCTTATCTTTAAAAAAACGCTTCTAAACGCAAACGCACATAAATGCGGTATGCAAACATTGCTAAAGACTTTTCTTGACCTACGTTTTCCAGCAGTCCGTTTCCATCGTTCAGAAGTATCCTGTGTACATGGGGCCTTAGATTGTGTCCACATGCATTATAGGGGCTTCTTTATAAAATCAAAAGTGAAAAATAAAAGTGTTGCCCATTACTCACCAGTCAGTCCTGTGTGTTTTTGTAACCTGCCCTTGAAAACTTACAGCTATTATCAGATTCCTTCTGATGTTCAACTCCTGCACTTTTTCTAGATCCAGATTCTTGAAATAAAACACATTGTAATTGACAAGCAAAGCTGGGTTAACTGGAACTAGGAAAAAAATAGTTGAGGTTTGTTAAAAGGTCTGTTGTGTAGCATTGTACCTGAATGAGGGACATAACGTACATTAACCACTTCCCATCTGCTGTACATTTATAAACGTCCTCAGCCAGGAAGGGTGATATCTCAGTTATAGCTGCAGCAATGATCAAGGTATTTTGTTGTGCCATCGATTCTGCACAAAGTAAAAGTAATCAGAGTAGCTAACAAGCCGCTGGATTACTTTTATAGGAGGCAGAAGGGAGTCCCAACCCCCTCCTGCCCCTGCCTGTGCGAACGGAGAGTCCAGTAAAGGATGCGCCAGGCAGCGTCTAGCTCTAGGCACACGGTGACCAGAACAGATGTCTTTCCTCCCACTGTATGACATTGGATCTGTGTCTGATCAGCTGCATTGGAGGCTAGAGGAGAGATTTGGGGTCTAATAGGACATATCACGTCCAGTGCTGTTCCAAGGATGTTGTCACGTCCAATGCTGTTACAAGGGATGTTGTCACGTCCAATGCTGTTACAAGGGATGTTGTCACGTCCAATGCTGTTACAAGGAATGTTGTCACGTCCAATGCTGTTACAAGGGATGTTGTCACGTCCAATGCTGTTACAAGGGATGTTGTTCAGTCTTTCTAATAACCATAAGGTTGATAAAAAAAAAAATGACATTTGAAACACTTTTTTTTTTTTTTTTCTTTAATCTCTTGGCGTTGATCGCACGCAAATGTGCAGCCTCCCGGTGTCTGGGCCTTGATGCCAAGCGGCTGCACATTTGCGTGCAATTAAGAAAAACATGCTGAGAGAGCGCACGCTCCCAGCACACGTCTGGTACTCTTGGAAAGATCCCGGTCTCCTCTTGCGATCGGGACCTTTCCCGATCATGTGACCGCCGTGACAGTGAATCGCGGCGGTCACATGACTCTAAAACCCCGCCCCGCCTCCCGGCTTCTGAAACCCTTAAAGGGCCGGGAGGCGCCAGCGCCAAGGGGTTAATTAACTTTTTTTATTTTAAACAAATTTTTAAAGAGCTCCTGTTCCTCTGCTCACGTGTAAATGTGAATGAGAACCTATGTCCCGCACACGTGTAAACGGTGATAAAAATATGAAATTCCCACCGTTTTATTCTTTAGGGCCTCTGCAAGAAATACATATTTTTTGGAACTCCAAGTCCTTTTCTAGAAAAAAAAAATTTTAAACGTAGGAGAGGAATGCCAAAATTGGCCACGGACTGGAAGTGGTTTTTGTGGGTGTGTAATGCAACACAAAGTTCTTAATGAAGTCTAATCATCTGTGGCACAGTTTGGTGTCCTGCACTTTTCCTAGTGGACCATAAGCTTCTCTGTCCTGCCTGGATCCCATAGTGCAGTACCCAGTTCCTGCACAATATATTAGTAGACTTGGGTATCGCCTTGTGGGAGAAGAGTTGGTGGTGAGTTTTCAGGAAGGCTGTGGGCTGCAGTGCTAAAATAAAAGGTTTAGGCACTTTGCAAGATTAGTTTTAGTTGTTCTCTCAGGTACACCTCTAAATTCACCAGCGAATTCTTTAAATTCGAGAGTCCAATTTGTACTATCGCACCCTCGAGTGTATTTTTAAGTTGGAATGTAATGGCTATTAGGGACAGTCTAAGCTTTGTTACTGAGACTGGCATTAATGTTGAAGAACGTGTTGGTGATATATAAATTAGGACAATTTTAAGGCACACAAATGTATATACTCCTGATCGTGTGTTGCCTAATTATTCTCCTGTGTTGTATGGGTGCATTACTACTTTTCTTAAGGTATATAATTTTTTTTTTTTTTACTCCTTTGCTGTAGGTTATGCGTTTCTTCTCTTTCAAGAAGAAAGCTCAGTTCAGGCGCTGATTGAAGCCTGCATTGAAGAAGACTCTAAACTCTATCTGTGTGTCTCTAGCCCAACCATCAAAGACAAGCCTGTAAGTATACACTGTGTCTTGTTTACCTGTATAGACTCTTTGGGGTTGATTTACTAAAGGCAAATAGACTCTGTACTTTGCAAGTGCAGTTGCAGTCATTTTCCCCAGAGCTTAGTAAATGTGGTGAACCTTTTCTTTGGAAAGAGTTCCCAAGGTGCAGGGGAAAAATTCTGGTGCTCATGCTTGGATGATGGAAATCAAAAGGGTTTCACCCTATTCACTAAGCTCTGGGGAAAATAAGTGCAACTGCACTTGCAAAGTGCAGATATTTGCCATTAGTGAAGCAAATATCCTTATGTCCTGGAACAGCGTTACAAAGCTGTGTGTTCCTGTGCAAAATGCAGTTTTGTGCGGTGTGATTTCAGCCCATTCATTTTGAATGAGCAGAAATTGCATTGCACTGCACCAAAAAGTAGTGCATGTGCTACTTTTGGAAATGCACTGCATCGGATTGCTTGGTACCTGTACTGCATTTGCAACCTGCATTTGGGGTGTCATTAACTTACAATTGACACCCGCTGCAGATTGCAACTGCAATGCATTCTGAACACAGTGCGGGAAACGTGCATTCCATGCACATTTCCCACACTGTGTTCTGGTGTGAACCAGCCCTTAATATCCTGCAAAGGGTTTCTCCAGACAGAAAATGAGGGAAAATCTGCATCATCAACACACAGAAATAAAAATGCTTTTTATTTTAGAGTATTAGAAGGCCTGAAAGATTTAGATTGCCTGACCATATAAGCAAAAAAAGTGTGACCGTAAATACTCCATCCCCCACAGCAATTTCCTCCTGTACCGCTATCCCCTCCCTCCTAGATTGTAAGCTCCAAGGAGCAGGGCCCTTGAACCCCTCATGTATTCTATTGTTGGTGTACCATCTCATGTATTGTCTCCCATTATATTGTACAGCGCTGAGCAAACTTTTGACGCTATATAAATACTGTATAATAATATAGATGTAAAAAGGATGATACAGGAATAGACTTAAAATACACATTTTAGTATCGCATAACTGAAAATTCAGACTTTGAATATTTAAATCCATCGTAAGTTTGCAGGTGTGTATGGATTATAGGAGACCATTTCAAATTCCAATTTTTTTTTTACCATATCAGTCACAGGTCGATTGGTTGGGAGCATTGTAGAAGGTGACTGTTGAGGTATATTAGTTGTATGGTCTGTATACTTCTATATCATGAAATTGTATTAAAAAATACATTTATAAATTCCTTTCTGAAGGGCAGGACAAACACCAAGGAAGGTTGTTTCCAGTTAATAAGGCTCAAAAAGCAACAACTGTAATGACAATGGGTCCATTCTGAGCAAAGTTACCCTGGTCATGGGGGGCATCCCCTGACAAAAGTTCAATTATGGGCCCACTGTTGGCGATGAAAACCCGAACCCCAACTAAAAGGCTGCACATGCATTTTAAGTAGACCCTAATATGCATCACCTTGACCATATATGAAACACTCTAACCTTGCCCATTGGCAAAGGAGCACTGGCAAGGTGAATATCAGTGGGCCAGGGTCCCCTTTTGTATAGTTCTGTATGTATTATTATGCTTCTATATACAATTTGATAACCACAAAATGTGGAGTTAACCCTTCAATGGGAAAATGTAGTCTTAAGGATAACTGCACTTTTAAAACACATTGACAACTTTGACAGCTTATAATCTCTCACCTCTGCTTTTCTTCCCCTTTTGCTTTGAGATCTGTCCTCATTCACTAGTGTTCCCATGTTTAAATGACACCTATACCAATATGCATATTCAGAGTGTAATTATTTGTCAATTCTTCTGAAATTGCTAGTTGTCTGGCTGTCAAGCGGATCCAATAAGTTTAGTTGCGTGAGTCAGTCTTGGAACAAGCATGCAGATCAGGAGCTCTTACCGAACCTCACAACTTGATGGATGTTTATTCCATGTCGTAGCTCAAAAAGTGTAATATTTTGAAGTGAGAGCACATTTTGGGCACTTCCCAACATCCCTAACAAAGAATTGAGGAAGCTAAGTAGATAATTGTCTGAACAGCACCTGCATCCAGTCAGATACAGCTGCTGTCTGGGTTTTTTGACAGCGAACAGGGCCAACTGTCGAAATACAACAGCGGGAGGTTTGTCCATCCACTCTGTGTAGCTCAGGTTAAGGAATCTGAATCAAAGGCTGGACCCCAAAAAAATCTGTGTATGGCTAGCTTTATACCTGCCAGCCTCCTCTCCTGTCAAATCTTCCCTGCCAGGTAGCCTCTTCTGTGCATGACCATTCATTCCTATGGAGAGCAGGGTTTTTTTTTTTTTTTATTTATTTCAGGTACTTGTATAGCGCCGTCGATTTACGCAGCGCTTTACATATATATTGTACATTCACATCAGTCCCTAACCCTCAAGGGGTGTGCAATCTAAGGTATATTGTCTCCTCACAGCAACACTACGCTGGGAAATCGGTGAAAAAAGGATCTTAGCCAATAGAGCAGTTGCAGAATTACCTCTGCTTAATGCCGTGCCAATCACTATTGATGTCATGTGCGGTTTGAATGAGAAAATTGGCCGAGTCCAGGTTCATTTAATTTAGGGTGAATAAAGAAGAGCTCAAGGAATTATAACTTGAAAGAACAGCAGGAGGTGAACATAACACCCCGGTCACATTGGGTGCGACTTTGCATGCCATGCGACTTGCAAATCGTATGCCAAGTCGCACCCCATTGTCTGCAATTAGTGGTCAAATCGGTGCGGTTCTGACTTGGCCGGAGCCACACTGATTTCTAAAGTAGTACATGTACTACTTTTGGTGCGATTTGCATAGACTTCTATGTTAGATGTCTTGCAAATCGCAACTGAAATTGGCATCTCACCTGACTTACATTGAAGTGGCACATTTCAAAGTCGGGCTTGATGTGACCGGAGGGTAAGGTGCTAGTAACATTTTTGGCTTTGTGCTGCCTTTTTCAAATGTGTCTTTAAAAAAAAAAAAAAAACTATGGGTCTGCATTGCAAGAGCATTGTTTAGTGTTCTGTGCACCTACTTCCATCATTAATTGCTGTTATGGAAGTCCATGGGTCAGCCATTTGCTGCAGCTTATTCCATTCCAAAATCAGCAGGGACAGGAAGTAGGGATTGGAGATTGGAAGCGTTACCACTGTTTCGAGCACAATTCTTGGTGTTGCCTATCTTTGAAAGGACAGTAGAGAGCCAGTTATAATTTGCGCATCCTACTCACCTCTCACTGTTCTTTTTAAGCTATATTTCATGGCGCTCCCCATCATGTGGTGATTCCATGCAAGGTATTGTTGAAACCTATGCTTATTGGTAGTTTTTACTTCAGTTTTTATGTTTTCTGATTTAAGGTTCAGATTCGTCCTTGGAACTTGAGCGACAGCGACTTTGTGATGGATGGGTCACAACCGCTTGACCCCCGGAAAACTATATTTGTAGGGGGAGTCCCCAGACCACTGAGAGCTGGTAAGGGTGTACACTGTTTTGTGCATATGTGTGTTATATACATACTTATCCATGATGACTGTTGGCAGTTCAGAAAACTGCCAACATTAGTAAAACTAATAGTAGAAATATGGGCTGAGCAATGTGCCTCCTGGGATGGAGCCTCTGTACCCTCCAATATGCAGATTTTGACTTGTGTAGAATCAGTTGTTGGTCATGTAGTTCAGGAGAGGAAAGTTGGACCAAGCTGGATTCTACACACTACAAAGTCTGCAAATTTACTTTACCCAGTTCCCCCATGCCAAATTGCTTTTACTATATTGAAAAAAAAAAAAATGGTAAAGGGAAAGCAATTGATAAAATTACTGGCCTTACTCCCCAGCTTCCATACTGCAGGAGATGACTTCATGTTCCTTCCAGTGAGATCCCGGGGAAAGTTTTTAGTAGCCCAAACCTTGAAGAGCTGCAGCATTGTCTTATGAAATTCCAGATGTTTGGCATTCCCCAGGATTTTGCCAGAAGGAGCGTGACGCCACCCTTGGCTAAGAGTCGAGCGTAAAGTAGATATATTTAAGTACATTCTTTTCTTAGATTTGGGGGGTTGAGGGATGGGGTTGTTCAAGATAACTTAGTGGGCCTTCTGTTTTTAATGCAGTCTGGTTTAATGTTATGGGGTGATTTTAGTTTTTTATTTTAGTTTTGCACCCATGGGCAAGTCTAAAATTATGTGGGCTTCTAATAAAAATAAATTTTTATGCCAGATGTACATAGTATATAGAAATAAATAATTGTAGCATGCATATAATGTACTGAAAGGGCACTTTTAACATTGCCCTATTTTCATTTTTTTCATAATTGGGTCCTATGCAAATTTTTTGGTTAAATGTGCACTGCCATCTTCACGTCTCTTTAATATTTTTATCTTCTTAGAATGTTCTTTCTCATTTTGCAAATACAGTAGCTGGTAAAAAACTAGTCTCTCTCATTATTTTTTATTTTTTTAGTGGAGCTTGCCATGATTATGGATCGACTTTATGGGGGCGTTTGCTACGCAGGCATTGATACAGACCCAGAGTTAAAATACCCGAAAGGCGCTGGACGTGTAGCGTTCTCCAATCAGCAGAGCTACATTGCAGCCATCAGTGCTAGATTCGTGCAGCTTCAGCATGGCGATATCGATAAACGAGTGAGTGACTATGGGATGTTGGTGGATAGGCCTAACCATCTGCAAAATCCTTGCTAGCAGCCAAAATACATGCCTGGTGCTGATATCTTCCTACCGCCATTAACAAAAAAATTAGAATAAAAGTCAAGTCTAGCATTTTTTTTTCTTTTTAGGATACATTCATACTGTATGACTTGTGTTTATCTACATAAGAAATATGCAGTTGACTGCTAAGGCACAGAGAAAACTATAGTTTTCTGTGTGTCCCATTCACAACACTGGTGTGATGTGTGGTGCTTAAGAAAAAGTGAAATAAAAGTACTGATTAGTAGTATTTAATTTTGTTTTACCTGGCTTTTAATTACACCACTAAAATGTGTACACAGTTCCTTTTAGTAAGTAAAATTAGAAGTAACCACTGCGCCTGCTGGGAGATAAATTGTCAAACTCCTAACTTGTTCCTAATAAATGCTGCACTATCCTCGATCTAGTGTTGGCAGAGTCCATACATATAAGTGAACATTTTAAATTCTGTCCCGTGTTTATGCAAATAGTGACCTTTGTTTATAGAATCCATATTTGACACATCATTATGTTTGAGAATTCAAAGAATGTGAGATTGGAGGCAGCATCGTGTGGGACGTGTATGTAGAACCACCGTTGTATAGAAAAGTACAGTCCACCAAACAAAGCAGAGCTGTCAGAAGTTTTCCCGAACTGCAGAATCTAGTGATTGCTTTTCCCACAAGTTATTTTTTTATTTTTTTGGCCATGACATGCCTGTACATTTGGGTGAAAAAAAAGAAAAAAGAAAAATAAAGTAACAATGTTCTATACTTAACCTGCTTGGTCCTGCCTGCTGTAAATGTCCTGCCTAAGGCATGGGCTTACAATTGCTTTATATAAATCTAGCTCTGCGTTCCACATGACTAATGCACCAGTAACCATTCTGAGCATCAGAGTAGGTGTGTAGAGGGGAAAGCTGCAGATGTCATAAAGAGCAAAACCAGATGATTTCTAAAGGGAGAAGCTTCCTTTCATTGATGGAAATCACCAGGGCCAAACAGTTCTGATGGCACCCGCACAGCACTTAGTCACTGCAGTCACATATAATGCATGCAAATCAGTTCATTTTATTATGGGGCACAAATCTATCTTAAAGCTCAACTCCACCTTTTTCGTATTTTTAGGGGCAGGGGTGTTTTTTGGACTCTGGAAACCTGGGCACTCGAGTGGGTGTGGCCTTACTGTACTGACAGTGACGGGAGCTTAAATAGGCATACTAAAAGTGGTTGTAAACCTCAGACATGAACTATATCCCACTATAGTGTGTACTTGTCTCAATCCAGAGCACTGTCATTTCTCTCTGTTGCCCTATTCCTCTGAGTAACGTCTGACAAGTTTTCCTAACACCAAGAGAAAAAAGGTGACGGGGAACAGAGCTGCAGGATACAGCCTGCAATTGACATCCACAGCTCTGTTCCTGTATGCTGAGTGAAGGTGTATCCCTTCCCTCCCAATTAGCTTTCACAGAGCTCTGTAACTTCAAAGTCCAGATATTATACAGCCTGTCTGAACTTCCAGAAAACAGGGCAGAGATCTGAACAACTGTAGAGAAGAGAACCATTACAAATAAACAGGTACGACTTCTATACACTGCTCAAAAAATTAACAGAACACATTGAAAACACATCAGATCTCAATGGGGGAAAATCTCATGCTGGATATCTATACTGATATGGAATGGGTAATGTGTTAGGAACGTAAGGATGCCCCATCGTTTGATGGAAATGAATATTATCAACCTACAGAGGACTGAATTCAGACACCCCAAAAATCAAAGTGAAAAATTGATGCAGCAGGCTAGTCCATTTTGCTGAAATTTCATTGCAGCAACTCAAATGGTACTCAGTAGTTTGTATGGCCCCCACGTGCTTGTATGCATGCCTGAAACGTTGGGGCATGCTCCTAATGAGAGGACAGATGGTGTCCTGAGATATTTCCTCCCAGATCTGGACCAGGACATCACTGAGCTCCTGGACAGTCTGAGGTGCAACCTGGCAGCATCAGATGGACCAAAACATGATATCCCAGAAGTGTTCTATTGGATTTAGGTTAGGTGAGGTTGGGGGCCGTTCAATGGTATCAATTTCTTCATCCTCCAGGAATTGCGTGCACACTCTCGGCACATGAGGCTGGGCATTGTCGTGCACCAGGAGGAACCCAGGACCCACTGCGCCAGCTTAGGGTCTGACAATGAGTCCAAGGATTTCATCCCGATACTTTATGGCAGTCAGGGTGCCATTGTCTAGCCCAGCAATGGGCAAACTGCGGGCCGTATACGGCCCGGCGGACCTTTTAATCTGGCCCGCGGAGCGTGATACTGTCAGGATGGCTGTCAGGATGTGTGTAGGCGGGGCAGCGTGACGAACGTGAGGGGAGCTAGGCTCCTCTCACAGTCCGCCCTGAAGACCGGTGTAGCATGAAAATCTGTCTCCTATGAGGATCTGTCCCCCTCGACGTATCTGCGCATGTGCCGGAGATCGCCGATCGGCTGCTAATGCCTGAAACTGGCACATGCGCAGATACGTCGAGGGGGACAGATCCTCATAGGAGACAGATTTTCATGCTACACCGGAACGGCGCGGGAACACGGCGAGAGGAACACGCGCGGAGCAAAGGTAAGTGAATTGACACAGGGGGGACTTGGGGACTTAATATGGGGGATGAATTACACTATGGGGGATGAATTACTATATGGGGGAATTACTATATGGGGGATTAATTACGATGAATTACTATGGGGGAATATTACTATACTTACTATGGATGACACATACACATCATTCATCTACTCTTGGTCCGGCCCCCGGGTCCAATATATGAACCCATTGCGGCCCTCAAGTCAAAAAGTTTGCCCACCCCTGGTCTAGCCTGTAGAGGTCTGTGCGTCCCTCCATGGATATGCCTCCCCAGACCATCACTGACCCACCACCAAACAGTCATGCTGAACAATGTTACAGGCAGCATAATATTCTTCACGGCTTCTCCAGACAATCTCACGTCTATCACATGTGCTCAGGGTGAATCTGCTCTCATCTGTGAAAAGCACAGGGCACCAGTGGCAGACCTGTCGCTTCTGGTGTTCAGTGGCAAATGCCAATCAAGCTCTATGGTGCCGGGCAGTGAGCACAGGGCCCACTAGAGGTCATCGGGCCCTCAGGCCACCCTCATGAATTCTATTTCTAATTGTTTGGTACGAGACATTAACACTAGTACCCTTCTGGAGGTCATTTTGTAGGGCTCTGGCAGTGTTCCTCCTTGCACAAAGGAGCAGATGCCAGTCCTGATGGGTTAAGGACCTTCTATGGCCCTGTCCAGCGCTCTGAGTAATTGCCTATCTCCTCCATGCTCTTGAGACTGTGCTGGGAGACATAGCAAACCTTCTGGCAATGGCACGTATTGATGTACCATCCTGGAGGAGTTGGACTGACTTTGCAACCTCTGTAGGGTCCAGGTATCACCTCACGCTACCAGTAGTGACACTGACCCTAGCCAAATGCAAAACTAGTGAAAAACGGTCAGAAAAGATGAGTAGGGAAAAAAATGTCAGTGGCCTCCACCTGTAAAACCATTCCTGTTTTGGGGGTCGTCTCATTGTTGCCCATCTAGTGCACCTGTTAATCAGTTTTAGCTGCTTTGGTGTTAATGAAATGAACCCCCTATGCTAATGATATGCTCTGATTAAAAAGTGTTCCTTTAATTTTTTTGAGCAGTGTAGGATTAGTTTATTCTGTGTATCACCTGATTGTAACCACCCTTACATATACTGAAGGGAAGGGACTAACACTTTTTAAATTGAACCTGAGCATACTCACTGTATCAACAGCACACACATTCCACAGTCCTTATACCCACAAAATATACTTTAAGAAAAAAATCCATCACCCAGACTGGTTCTTTGTCTTCGGGTCACCAGCGCTGCAATCTTGCTTGTGGGAAGCCAGCTGTGAATTACTGGTGTTTAACCCCAGGTGGGTCCAATTTACATTCTGCTTGCCTAGGCAGCCAATGGGAGTGTGTGTAAAACCTCCCGCTGTAGGTCCATGACGTATGGGCATGGCTGTAAAAGTTAAAGGAAGGCATTGTGAAGGGGTTACTTTGTAGTTCATGACAATAAAAAGTATGTAACAATATAGCTCAGCACATGATGTATGGCAGGCAGGAGGATGTAAAGAACAAGATACGTAACCAAATCCTAACCGCTGCATCCTATGTGACGTTCCATACATTACTTATTCTTGACTACTGAACTCTGTTTTGCCATCCCCCAGGAAATCCCCTCCCCTTCTTGACTACTGAACTGTGTTCTGCCACCCCCCAGTAAATCTACTCCCTTCCTTAACTATCATAACTATCCACTGCCCACCTTTGCACCATTCTTACCCTTGGTCTCCCACCTCAACAACCCATTTTTGTATCCCCCCCCCCCCCCCCCCAAGCCAAACTCAAATTGCAGCTGCTGTAAGGAGGGGTCCTTGGCGATGGGCATGATTTTGTATTTGTTGTAAAGCACTGCTGATTTTTTTGCCATTGTCTTCATGAAAATGCAAGCAGAGTAATGCTGTTGTATATGTCTTTTTCTTGTGATGCAGGTAGAGGTGAAGCCATACGTGTTGGATGACCAGATGTGTGATGAATGCCAGGGAGCCCGCTGCAGTGGGAAATTTGCTCCGTTCTTCTGTGCCAATGTCACATGCCTGCAGTATTACTGCGAGTTCTGCTGGGCAAACATCCACTCTCGGGCCGGTCGTGAATTCCACAAGCCGTTGGTGAAGGAAGGAGCCGACCGGCCCCGTCAAATCCACTTCCGGTGGAACTAATCTCGGCTTAACCCCGCCACTCACTGAGAGAGGGGTGCATGCGGCTTACTGTGTTTAAAGATACTGACGTGCAGAAGGAATAAGTGCATTCTTCTGCCCCCACCCCAACTTCTATACGTGCATCTGTATCAGCAGCCAAAACACTAAAAGCCTCTCGTTTTTCACAAAACAACCCCACATCTCAGGCTTACTAATTCTTTGTGATACTTTCATGTTAAATTTTTTTTATATTTTTTTCCCAAGTTCTTTTTATATGTAATGCTGAAATTAGAATATGAGAATGTTCTGCATAGGGGCAACACAGTCTGCTGCTATAAATATATATATATATCTATATATCTATATCTATCTATATGGATGAAGTGTGCACTTATTTCTAGACGTGGATTTTTAACTTATCAGATCAGCCCCAGTTATTTACCAAAGGTAGCAATTAATAGTGTGGAAATGGAAAAATGTCTGCTACTAAAAGATTATTTTTATTGTTGCTATTTTAAGTGTATATGTAAATTTGAAAAAAAAAAAAAAAAATTATAGGGTTGATTTTTTTCGCTCTCCATTTTGACTTGCAAGAAATAATACCTCAAGATAATCTGATTTTTATTAGCTATTTTTAAACATTTTTAATCATAAGCTGTATTAGCTTTGCTGCTATATAGGTGTTGTGTGTAATGCCACCTATTTATACAGGATTGAAAAGTTTTCAGAAACTGCATTGTGGGAAAAATGCAGGCAGCACAATATGGCTAAAACTGCCATAGTTTTAGAATGTGAAATATGCATGTTTACCTACCTGTCTACACCATATGCATGCACTAGAATTAACTAACCACGAATACGGTATTGCAGATAAAAACGTTAAAAAAAAAAAATAAAGAAAAAAGAAGAAAAACACAGCTCTTTTTGAAACTAGGTACAGTAGCATGAGCAAAATTACAAACAATTTTTGTAACAAAGCATATTTGCATGACTTGTGACTCAAAGTAAAACAAATGTCCTTAAATGTGTACAATATGAAGATTTGTTTTAGACTAGTAAGTGCAGCCATTTATTGTCCTGGTCGGTAGTGGACTTCAGTTTACAAGGATTGGATGTAATATTGTAATCCCTGTGCAGTCCCCATCGTGATGTGTGGTTCTGACTTTTGTGACGTGAAGTAGTGTAGCGAAAAACTGGAACAAAAAATAAATGAAATCTGAGATTGCTTCGAAAATACGTAGCGTACCCCTTTTTTCCAATTTAAATCCTTTTTAAATTTGGTTTAAAACTTTCTTTCAAACCAAAGATGGCCAGCACACTTGTAATCCGCCACCAAATGTATAACACGCAAGCTATTTATTGAAACCTAGTAGGTATAATTAATATTGCTATTAATGATAATTAAAAAAAACTGCTTTTGTGCTTTAGAGTAAAGATTAAAAGTCAAAATGGAGATGGTATAACACAGATGGCTAGTTGCATAACAGCTCCTCTGTACCTTCAAGAAAACAGTGGCTAAAACATTATTTTGAAATTGGTTTTGTCTGCACGCAACTTTTTGTAGCTTTTCTATTTTTTTATCTTTGTAATAATTTATTTTTTTTAGTGGAGCAAGGCTGCTAAATGATCGCACATTCTGTTTTTATTTTTTTAGTATACACATAATAAATATGTATTTATTTAAGAAGCCAACAGTCAATGATAATAGTTTAGTCTTCGAATATAAAACAAAAAATTAATATCCTTAAGCCATGAGGTTATGCAACTAGCCTATGACAGATATGTCAGTCTAAAAAAAAAAAAAAAAAAAAATGGACTTGACAATTTTCACGCCACAAGTTTTACCAATTTAACACAGAAAGAATAGAGAGAAAAAAGGGTTTCCTTGATAAACCCATGGGACAATCTGTGTAAGATAAAAGAAAAATGCATTATTACTGGTTGTCAGCAACGTGCTTTTTTTGTACTGTATAATATGTGACTCGTCTCACCTTGCTGTTTTTTGTTGTGGTTGTAGTTCACGTTTAAATGTTTAAAATTGTTGCTGTTCTGAAGAGTGTTTCTTTCTAATTTATTTGTTGATACCCCCCTTACCCATTTCTTGAAGGGATTTCCTTCCTTTTCCCTGGGTCTGTGTTATTAATAGTATTTTATCAACCTTCACTCTTCTCACCTAACCCCAAAACAATTCTGACTTTGTTATGCACTATATTTTATATCTTGGAGAGAAATCTTTGAACGTCAGCTGTTTTGACACGTGCTTGCTTTAATTAACATCCCTTTTGCAATACCTTGATGTTTTTGGATTTCCAAGAAAATCTAAAGAAATTTACCAATAATTTAAACAAAATTGAGAAGCGCATCTAAAGTGAGAAACCAATCTATTTAAATGAAGTAGAAAAGACCCCTTCCTACTAAATTTAGAAGAGAAACTTAGAATATTCTAAAAGAGATTGGCAGAAAGTAATTTTTATTGTCATTTCACTTCTGCGTGAGGCAGCGGATACTGCCTCCAGTTCCAGTCCTGCTTTTTGTGTGTGTATTTGTATGTAGTAAATTCTTTTTTTCTAATTGTTGAACACTGTATTAGATTTTTTATAAATCATATTTATTTTACTATTTTTGTAGAAGATTGCTAGTTGATTTTGATTGTATTTTTATATTTTTAAAGCTTCACTTTTGTTCCCCCAGTGTGCATATTGCTGCCCAAGTGTATGACTATGGAGGAAAAAAAAAAACTTTAAAATCCACACTTTTTGTTAAGAAGGAAACATTTAGCATTTATATATTTGTGTATGGACAACACTTGATATTGTATCCCTGTTGCATCTGGCTGCACAAAGCCTCTCCTCAAAGATGCTAAAAAAAAAAAAAAAAAACTTGAATATAACACATTTTGGAAGGCTGACTAACCTCGATTCTGTGTTGTGATGTGCAATACTGTTTCTAATATTTGTATAAAAACAGTGTGTAAACCTTTTTAATGCAAATTTATTTTTTTCATTGCATATTTTGCAGATTTTATCCACGGTGTCATTTTTTACTGTCAAAAATACCCCTTTTGTCATTGCAACTATTTTTTAAAATCCAGAAATCTTTGTACTGATGTAAATGATTGTAGTTATTTTGGATAGTGTTTTGCTAACAAAAGGAGAGACTTTTTTTTCATGCATATTTCTATTTTGTTGGTTTTTGTGGTTTTTTTTTTTTTTTTCTCTTTTTTTTTTTTTTTTTTTTTTTTTTTTTTAGAAGTAATATTCTTGTCATTAATATCATTTTTGTATTTTTATGTGGGAAAAATATAATTTTATGACGCTAATTGCTAAAGTTTTATTTTATTTTGAATTATTTTTGGAGCTGAAATCTTTGTACTATTAAAGCAACTAGTTTCTAATTCAGAGTTTCTGTATAGAATGGCACAAGTGGCTTATGGAGTGTTTGGATTGTAATTATTAAAGGTTCTTTGATATGCGCAAATTTAGTTGATTTATATTTTTGGGTATTCTGTATAATTATAAGCCCACGCTTAAGGACACTAGGTGATTGCCTTCAGCCTTTTTTTTTTTTTTTTTTATTTTTTTTTTTTTTTTTAATTTTTTTTTTTGAGATATATTGATTCAAATTTTACTTTCATCTTCCAGGTGTCTAAATCTCCAGTCTGTCTGTTGTACTGGTAATTTAACTCTGTAATGAAATAGTTTGCTGCCAACTATTTATATTAAGTAATTTTTAAATATTTGTAATATTGTTGACTGACTAATAAACTTAAGTTATTGGCATGTCATGTTTCCCCGAGTCTTTATTGAAAGCCACAATTTCTTTTTAAAATTCCATGAACTTGGTGCCTTTTTTACAGTTTAAAATGTAAAGTCTTGCCTTACAAGGTGATTTGCCTAAATAGTCATGAAAGCAAAAATTGTGTTCGCTCAGGTTACTTGCAGTTGTGCTCAAAGGTTTGCATACCCGGGCAGCAATTGTGACATTTTGGCATTGATATTGAAAATATGATTGATCATGCCAAAAAATGATGATAAATGGCTTCATATGATCATCATCCTTCAATAAAAGAGCAAATAGTTGTTTGGCTCCTTTTTTAAATCATAACGGAAATCACCCAAATGGCCATGATCAAAAGTTTACATACCCTGGAATGTTTGGCCTTGGTACAGACACACAAGGTGACACAAACGGGCTAAAATGCCAATTAGAGGTTAATGTCCCACATCTGTGGCTTTTTAAATTGCAATTAGTGTCGGTGTATAAATAGTCAATGAGTTTGTTAGCGCTTACATGGAAGCACTGACTAGGCTATATACTGAGCCATGGGGATCAGAAAAGAACTGTCAAAAGTCCTGCGTAACAAGGTAATAGAACTTTATAAAGATGGAAAAGGACATAATATCTGAATTAACAGTACTGATTGGCATATTCAAGGCTTTGGACATCTTTTTAAGAAGTGAAAAGTTCGGGGATCTCTTGATGCCAAGGTCAGGTAGACCAAGAAAGATTGCAGCCACAATCGTCTGGGATTCAAAGAAAAACCCACAGGCAACCTCAAAAGAAATACAGGCTGCTCTGGAAAAAGATGGTGGTTGTTTTTGAGTACAATAAGGTGATACTTGAACAAAAATGAGCTGTTTGGTAAAGGTGCCAGAAAGAAGCTTTTACTGCACCAATGCCACAAAAAAGCCCAGTTACAATATGCCTGACAACACCTTGACATGCCTAACCAGGCCTTTTTGTGTCATTGATGAAGAAAAATGAGCTGCATGGCCGAGGTGCCAGAAAGAAGCCTTTTCTGCAAGTGTCCTCATTGTGCTCCTTCAAAACAACCACACTGTCTTTTTCCAGAGCAGCCTGTATTTTTCTTGTGGTTACCTATGGGTTTTCCTTTGTAACCCAGAGAATTCTTCTGGCAGTTGTGAGCTGCAGCTCATTTTTCTTCATCAATGACACAAAAATGCCTGGTTAGGCATGTCAAGGTGTTGTCAGACATATTGTAACTGGGCTTTTTTGTGGCA